ATGTTGGACGTCCTCATACATGCCGGGCCAGTAGAATTCGGTACGTAAATTCTCATGAGTTCGGGTGATCCCTTGATGTCCGCCTTGAAAATCTTCATGCGCATGATGCAACATGTCTTCCCGAAGTGAACTCGGGACTACCAGTCTCAGATTATCCACGGCGTCTCGTGGTCTTCCGCGAACAGAATGTGGAAGTCTGTACAATATTCCTCGATCATCCAGAACGACCAGATCTGCGACCTTACTGATCTTCTTCAGGCGTGTGGATGAGAACCTGTCCAGGTCGTCATTTAGGAACGCCCTTGTCTCTGCTAGATACTCATCTTCCTCTTGATGAACTGTGATCCGTCTCCAGCGTTCAGCCTAAAACTCTAGTGGCCCCATGGACGGGACCTCGGCGTCATCAGCTTCTTCAGCTCGTGACCTCGTGAGTACAGCGATGACTCGGGCGGCAGAAGATAGAGGGGCACATTCGGGGCCAAGACCATGTCTCGCTCCTGAATTGCCATCTTCCTCACCAGGGTCTTGTATGGGATCTTCACTGTGAACTCGAGTGTCGGTGTCTTCAGACGGTATCACCAACTGCTCGCCAAACTTAGACACTTCGTTTCTCGAGATCATCCTGAACTGTCCAGGATTCACCTTGGACAAGAGTCTTCGAGGTCAGGTAGTCAGCGGCCTGGTTGAACTCACGATTCATGTGTACCAATCGTACCGTCTGGAAACGTTTCTTCAGGGTTTGGCATTCAGCTAGCCTCCTTTGGAGATTAGGCTGGTTACCATTAATCAGACCTTGGACTTGTTGAATCACAATTCTCGAGTCACCCACGACGACTATATCCTGAATCCCTCTTTCCAAAGCCATTGCAAGCCCTTTAAGCAACCCGAAGTATACCGCGTCATTGACGGTGACTCCCTCCAGGATGTAACCTCGAGCATCCAAAACTTTCCATCCAGGTAGCTGTCACAGAATCCGCAACTGCCCTTCCTTGTGGAAGTTTTGGCCGCACCATCGAAACTCAGGACTACCCCGGAGTATTCTTCTGAGAGCAGTTCGACACTCACGGCTGGAGGCGGTTTGACGCGCCCCTTGGCTGGAATGAGTACTTCGGCGACTTCATCCAAGTGCTCCTGGGGAGTGATACCTGCACCCATAATGGCGGCTAAGCCATCCTCATCTCGAATGACCTTCCGAATTTCCAAGTCGTAATGTGAGAGAACGACGCCCCATGGCACCAGACGGCCTTCGGCGGTCTTGGAATTGATGACCCATTTCAACACTGAATGTCTAGTGTAGATTATCAACGGACATCTTCGATCAGATTCTTGAACACATGGGGCACTCGCATCACAGCGAGAACTTCCTTCTCAGCGATATGGTACTTGAGCTCGACGTGACTCAGGGCACGCCCCGTGAAACGAACGGATTGAACGAGTCCGTCATGCATCTGGCCTAGAACTGCGCAAGCAGCCCACAGATTCGCATGAGTGATGATCACAAAAGGTTTCGTTCGGTCCGGATGTCTGAGTAGAGGCGTAGACACGATCTTCCTCTTCAGTATCTCAAACGATTCCTTCGCTCGAGGCAAGTCTCGCCCTGCGCGCACTTGGTCATCTGTCAACTCCTAGAGTGAAGCAGCTACCACAGCGTAATCTTCAATGAATTTGGGGTAGTAATTCAGGCTGCCTAGAAATGACTAGACTCCTTTCAGGGTAGACGGAAATGGTAACTCCTGAATACCTTTTTCGATTTTCGGGGTAGCACGTATCCCTTCAGCGCCAATCTTCTATGGTATGACACGCTTTCCGAACTCGCTCTTAGGGAAGCTAACTGAAATACTCCAGTACCGTAACCGATAGAGCAACGCATCTAGATCACCGCATAGTTGATCCCACGTGGCCGCCCCATGCGTGATGTCATCAATATACGAACTGCGCCCCAAGACTGGCCCCATTTGGGATGGTGCGGGAATGTTACGCTTGAAACCTGTCATTTGCTCCACGAGTGGTGTCATACTGCGTCGTGCATCCACTTCATCACTCGATAACTGAGGATCCAACTTCAAGTAGTCTAACACATCCTGATTCACGAGTGCTTCTTCTTCGGGTGATAGCCGCACAAAACTCCACAGGCAATTATTGATCATTTGTTGGCAAATTAGTGGGGCGTTTTTCAACCCTAATGGCAAACGTACCCATTGGAAATGCCCGAATGGACAGATAAACGCCGAGATCAGCTTAGCCCTCTCAGTCATTCGGACTGCCCAGAAACCATTCGCCATGTCAAGATTCATAAACCACATCATTCCTTCAAAACCGGTAATGAGATCGTCGATCAGTGGTAGTGGGTAGTTCGACAATTAAATGAAGCCGTTCCCGACTCGATACTCCATTCTTTTTGAGTACGACCACAATTGGGGATGCCCATGGCGATTCAGAATGTCCAATCAGTGTAGCTTTCAGAAGCTTCTTCAGCAACTTGTACACCTTGATTGCCAAGTGTGGACCGACCGATCG